CACTGCTTTGAAATATTTCGAATACGGAAAGGTCTCTCGGTGAAGATAAATTAGTAGTGTCCAATCAATTTGAGAACCTGCGAGAGGGTCTGAAGAATGGTGAGATAAAGAAATGTTTAATTACGAAACCAACTGTTACTACCTAAATTTGCCAAGACATCCAAAAAACACAGTTCAAAATGATTAAAGCATTTTGTCTAACCAGCTAGGGAACCTAAAAGTAATTTAGTGCCCAGTAAAAAAAGATTAATTGGTCTGCAAATCATCAAGGTGGTTTCGAGTCAAAAGATTGATAATGAGATGACTGAAGCCCGAGAAGAAAACGTTTTGATGGTGAGTGAGTTTTATTTAACCAGTGCTTGCTCTCAGTTGTTAAGCAGGAATACAAAACTCTTAAGAACTTTGAAAAGCAAAAGACTCTATAAGGCTAATGAGGTTTTGTAAGATTTTTTCCCTTGTATTTTTTTTTTGTATAAATTACTCCTTTGCGTCCAATACTTTGAACAGTAGTTAATAAATGCTTGTTGCAAGTGAAACTTATGTGTAACATTTCTTCAAATGTTACTTCATTGTTAGACCACTTTGAACAGCAATGCGCTTCAATTGTTGTCGACAGCCTTGATCTTTTACGGCATCCTAAGCCTTGGTTTACAAAAAACTCATTTCATCATCCAAAAAAGCACTAAAAACTCGTTATCCTATAACAGTGCGGTGTTATATTTATAGAGAAATCAAATATAAAACAAAAAAAATTTTGACCATTTGAGCGTTTCTCACGTCTCTGGCAAAATGTAAGCATAGGACGACGTTAGCACTTACTAATCAGTATTTTGTATTACGGTGCTTCTCAGGAAAAGGTAAGATTCCTTAAATTTAAAGTCAAAGGAAAATTTTAAAGAAAACAAAAAGAAAGCTTTTTTTGGACTTCAATAACATAATAAGTATTAGGCTCAAAAAGTAAGTTCAAAAAACCCATCTATGAAACTTCTAACGACAACCAACTTGTTACCCCACTTACAAGATGTGTATTTGTTACGGATCCTATCGATGTTTGATATCATCTAAATACAGTAATAGTTTTTGTCTATCTTTTCCTTTATATATCAAACATGTAAAAGGTCAGCTGAAAATACTATAATTCTAAGTAAACTAAAAAACTAATTTTCTTAGCAAACTAAAACAAGTCTTTTCAGTTAATGTCCCATCAAATTATTATCAAAAAGGAGCATTTTTATACGAAGACTTCGACTGAGAAGTCATAAACTAATTTTTTTCTACACTCTTTGGCGTCGTCAGGATACATAACTCATCAGATGGTGTTGGTTGTTAGCGATCCGTAAATGCCTGCGTTTTATATCATTGTCTTCATATGTCGACCCACCTTTCAAGGCTTTTAACAAGTATTTAATTGAAAAGATTGAAATCTCTTTAGTATAAACTTTTATTTTAAACAATGAAGTTTATCGTGTACTGTCCTCAAGCCTTTTTTTCTGCCGCAAATGCTACAAATTTCTAAACATCTCCATCCCTCTTTGATTTACTGGCAATCACATGCTCTCATTAACTAGCCTTAAACAGTATACTCAGGTAACAACACAAGACTTATATATCCTGTGAGGATATATTTCTAGTTATGTCAATAGAAGATGATCATTAGACTGCTTAGGTGTCTGGTAATACTATTAGCAAAGCGTTGGGAAAGCAAATCAAACAAAACTTGGGCTCTGTTCAACCCTGGTGATTTAAAAATTATACTAATTCGGAGAGTAAGTTTCTTAAGTAATTATAATTTCGAGCATGATCAAATTCCAAAATAAAGAGGAACTTATGGAGAAAAACAATGAGTTGAATGGTACTCGTCGGCTAGCCTTCTTAGGAGTAACCGTCGCTTCTATAGCTACACTAGTTTGCGTAATTTGTGTTCCCATGATTTACACTTACCTTCAAAGAACGCAGATTGTTATGCAAAATGAAGTAGATTTTTGCAAAGTCCAGTCGAGGTATATGTGGAAAGAAGTTTCTTGCACTCAGGTAACAGTTTTGCGGAATTTAAAGCACACTGTAAAAAATCAAGAGTTCTATAAATAGATGATTTCTTGGCAGGAAAAAGCTCAAAACTGTTTCCTACTCAACAGCTACTTCCAGTTCCTTTTTCTGCTCAAAATCCATAAAATGTTGTTTCAGGGTATGGTGAAAGCGGAAGAGCTACGAAGTAAACGTGACGCGAGCTGTTTGAAGTCGTATAAAAAGACGTGTTGCGGTTGTGGAATTTCACCTCCAGGTCCACCAGCACCTCCTGGAAATTCAGGAAGGGATGGTATGGATGCACAGTCACTACGTGCATACAGCCCTGGAGATACTGAATGGTGTTTTGATTGTCCAAAAACACCAACAAGGCCCTGCGGTCACGCAGGAAAGAAAGGAGCTGCAGGACATCCTGGACTAAGCCCAAGGAAACTAGGAAAAGATGGCAGTTCTGGACCAAAAGGACCTCCAGGTCTTCTAGAGCCAGCTGGGCCTACAGGAGCTTTGGGGCCTCCTGGAGAACCTGGTAAGATTACCGTTGTCAAAGACCTTGGTGGTTTTCAAGGTCCTCCTGGTCTACCAGGCGCACCAGGTCAGACTGGTTCTGAGGGCAAACCAGGAAAAGAAGGTGAACCAGGGCAACGAGGACCTCAAGGTGATATTGGTGAGCCAGGTGCCCCTGCCAATCAGGGAAAAGACGGGCTGCAAGGAAAGGAAGGTGAGAAAGGCGAAATAGGTTCATGCGATCACTGCTCGCCTCCCCAGACATCTCGAGGTTATTAGGAAGCAAAATGGCGGCTCATAATTTCTTTTGGCATTACTTTTTCGTCCTTAGAATGAACCAATCTTGCTTTTTCTTTTCTCAGGATTGGTATTTTTGAAAGCAAATATAAGTCTCACCGTTGTTCCCTGACAATTTATCTTATAGATCCCTCACTTGTTGTCTTCTAATCACTTGAAGATTGAAAATATTCAGGAAAAATTCATTTTTCAGTAGGTTTTAAACAAAATGATTCGAAAATAATATACCAAGTGGTGCTTTCCGGCTTCACTGTGTTGCCGCTCTTGCAACAATTTGATACAGTTCTTAAATTGGTGAACTGCGTTTGTATAAGAAATATAATTTATAAGTGATTTTTGGCAGCAGACTGTCTGCTTTCGTCAGAAAGTGTGGAGTTCCACTTAACAAGTCTTCCTTTCATCTAGTAAAATGCCTGACGTCTTGTTTTGTCTTTTTATCCGTGATGTTTTACCTATAAAATTTCTAATAGTTGAACAATAAAAGTCCTACTAAAATGACTTCCTATTCTGCTTAAACCTGAAGTATGCAACAGCATTTTCACAGTCCAAACATCTGTAACGCCTAAATAAATCTGAATTTCAGCAAGCATTAGAACAGCGGGACTAAGTTTTGTTTATATTTATTCTTGTTTGATCATCACTAGTGTATTACCTAGCACTATCAGTGCCAGGCGGAAGCAGTTTTGACGACTTTTCGCAGTTCAGTGGAGTGGCTGAAGCATTTCAGAAGAGTTTTGATTGTGGACTTGGGTCGTAATCAAGGGATAAAAGCCTCACTAGTAATCAGAAGATCCCAAAAAATTTTTCTGTTTTGACTGTCTAATTCTTAATGATTTGAAATTTGCTTCATGCCGTCAAAGTACTAAAAGAAAACCTCTTTATGCTGTAAAACTTGGACTTCTATATAAATGTACAATCAAATTGTGCTACCATCGGAAAAGAAATGTTCCAAGTTTCTTTTAACGTAGTGAACAGGGACGACATTGGCTTGCGGAAACTAGAATGTATATATCCTATTAACCTACGGAATCTAAACAGCCATGCCTTTGCTTTAAAGTGACGTTTACGTTACTCAAGCAAATCAGACTACTCACTCTCAAAGTTCTGGATTTTCAGAAGCTGTTTTATAGTGATTCAGTGAGGCAAACTAAAAACTTCTGCCTATTTTTAAGTTTTGCATATTTCTAAACTGCTAAATTAATTAAATCTTACTTTTCTGATCAATTTTCCATCAAGGAACGATCTGCTGTCATTTACAGGAATTCAATGAAACAGAACCTCCAAGGATGTCAGTACTACACTCTTGCCTGTTTGAATTCTGTATAAAATTCTCGTAATGATTTCCACTTCCTCCAATAAAAGCAACCCTTTCCACTGTTGTCTACGAGCTGCTGACACACTTAAAATTTGTCTCACATCATCCAAAATTTTGTGAGGCCTTTCTGAAAAGACGAGGAAAATGATTTTTTTGTTAAAGGCTCTGTACCGACCTATTTTTTTGTATACAGGTTTCCCGCCTTGTTTAATTTTAGACTTATCGACACTTCTTTTTTAATTTCTGGCAGTCGAGTGCTTTAGTTCCATTTTACTTCTTGAAGCATTTTATAACATAAATTTTGCTGGTGGCGTGTAATGCAACGGACAATGACTACAACTTATAACCGCAATCCTAAAAGTCTGAAAAATTCAACAGCCTTTATCTTATGCAAACCTCTTACCCACAATTCTTGCACTTTCTCGACCACTTTCTGGTCTGCCCAAATAAATATGCCTGTGCAGTTTAAATGTAGTGTTTTTAATAAAATGTTTCAACTACGTACATAGAACATATCAGTACACTGCATGGGGTGAATGCTAATATTGTCACGGAAGGCCTTCTGAAGAAAGAATTTATACATGCGTCATTCCACAACAAATCGCACACTTTTTTCTCTTCAAATCTCAAATTTTCTTTAGATCTTCCTGATTAGTAGAGTCCAAGCGAACATAGAGAAAGCCGCAAAAAAAGCCTGGAAAAGTGAATTCCCCGCCAAGTTACCCCCCTCAAATTGGCAAAATTTGCCAGGTTGCCGCTTGACATGCCTATCTTTATAGAATTGTAATTTAGCTCGTTTTGAATAACAATTAATGCTTCTTTGTTCATTGGATTCGACATGTACTGATCTTTCCAATGCATATTTATCCTTTAAATTTCTTTAAAAAATCAAAAATACAATGAAAACAAAATTTCAAACAAACATTAAAAAAATAACGAAGTTTTAAATTTTTTAAAAAAACAGATTTTGTGCAGATTTTTTTGCTTTACAAAATAACAAAATTTGGACATGGTGATTTTTTGGTATTGAGAGTTAAGAGCCGGAATAGGATGTAAAACTGAAAAAAAAACCCACTATTTTTACAGTAATCCCATAATTTTACAATAATGAAACCATCTGAAGCCGCTTCTGAAGGCCCCAGCAAGCAGCCACAAATATCCCGTATGCTTTAAATGTTGAAACTCTGCTACAGTATTTGTAGTCTACTTTCATAATATTAACTGTTTATTATTCAGTAAAGTCGCAAGATAAAGCCTTTACTCCAGCATTTTTCACTTCTTAATTTAGAATTGTCTTCATCTTATACTCGTTAAATTTTTGGTTGCATTAGCAAATAGAAGCCCGACTTGTTGTTCTCCTTTGAATTTAAGTGCTGTAATTTTCCAAAAGAAGAAAAAATTTCAGGAAAAATTCCAATTGAACAGATACGGTGAAGCAGTAAGTTCTTAGACTTCTTCGCGACCTCAAAATGTATGCTAGCTACATAGTTTTGACAGAAGAAAATACGAAAAGTAGAGAACGCTAGATTGAAGGCTTCATATTGCGACTCTGTTGAATAGTAAGCAGCTAATATTATGGAAGTAAACTACAACTTTTGTAGCAAAGTCTCATCGTTTAAAGCATACAGGATATTCGTGGCTGCCCGCTAGGGCCTTCAAAAGCGGCTTCAGATGGTTTCGCCATTGTAAAATACATGGGATTACTGTAAAAATAATGGTTTTTTCTTTAGTTTTACATCCTATTCCGGCTCTTAACTCTCGATACCGGAAAATCACCATGTCCAAATTTTGATGTCTTGTAAAGCAAAAAAATCTGCACAATATTTTTTTTTAAAAATTTAAAACCTCGTTATTTTTTTTAATGTTTGTTTGAAGTTTTGTTTTTATTGTATTTGTGATTTTTTAACGAAATTAAAAGAATAAATATGCATTGAAAAGATCAGTGCATGTCAAATTCAATAAACAAAAAAGCATTGATTTTTATTCAAAAGGAGCTAAATTACAAGTCTGTAAAGGTATGCATGTCAAGCGGCAACCTTGCAAATTTTGCCACTTTGAGAGGGAGTAACTTGGCGGGGAATTCACATTTCCGGGTCTTTTTTTGCGGCTTTCTCTATGCTCGCTTGGGCTCTACTAATCAGCAAGATTTAAAGAAATTATGAGATATGAAGGGAAAAAACTGTGCAATTTGATGTGGAAAGGCCCTTATATATAATCTGTACTGCCTTACCGCAATATCATCTTTATGAAAAATCCCAAAAGAGTGAATAAGAGCGGAATCAACGTAGAAATGTCTTCAGTTTTCCATTCCATTATAAGCATTCTACATTCGCTTGAAGTGACCGTACCAGGCGTAATTCATTGCCGAATTATGGTAACAATTAGCCGGAAAGGTGACTTTGTACCTTAAGAGCAACAGTTTTCATAACCAGGTTTAAAAACATTGAAGGCTTGTAGGTGGTCACGTATGCAGCCACGACGGTATCTTTGAAAAACACTTTCACCAATTCTACAGGCAGGTGTAAGGGGCCTAATGCTATAAGATGTATCTGGTGGCTATATCTATACAAAATCCACAGCTGTTTATAGCAGCATATGGAGCAAACTTTATCTCCTCAGTGGCCAATTTTAAAGAAAGTTTCTTTGGCCACAAAGGAACTAAAAAACAAAAAAATAAGTGCCAATAGCCTCTAACGGAGGGTGTGACTTTTCAGGAAACGAATTTTCATGTACTCCCGCTGAAGAGCAGGGTATCTGCGGTCCATTACCGAGATAGCACGCACAAGCTTACCTAAAGTGGTCACCACTTAGGCATTGATTTAGCGACTTCATGTATTAAATTTTATACTCACACAATGAGACACTTTGTTTGAAATTACCGAATAATCCAAACCAAAAATTATTTTGTACAAAAGCAACCAGTAGTCGAGAAAACCACTTTGAGTCGAATCTTAGGGATGTCTAAGACTAGATAAAGTGAAAGTTTAAGCACTGTTCCAACAGCAAAAGTGCCTTCAGAACACAATGGGCCAGCTTTCAGATCCAATGCGATAGAGTAACGGAATATTGTTACTACGTGTTACGCTGCTCTCCACTGCGGAAGACGGGTTTGTGACCCACCATAAATGTCAAAAAGACCAAGTAATAGAAAGTTAGGGAGATGTACGCAGACAAACTGTCACAGACGAATGTAGGTTTAAAAACCAAAAATTCAAAACTGAAGATGAGTCGACGATGAAAAGAAAGTTTTGGTAACCGGCACCAGAACTGATTCTGTAGAGCGAAATTTAAAGACTGGCTATGTAGTCTTTTTACTGGACAGGATCGACATGACACAACCCAACGAGAAGTCATGGCCTCGTTTTTTTGGCAACAAGC